GAGCAAGATGGGCTCCCACCCTCGCTCCTGCAGGCGCAGGGGGAGGCAAGGCCATCGTCCCGGGGGCGGGTGCAGCAGCTGGAAGGAGCCTGCCACCCCACAGGCTCCTGCCGAGCGCCGTGGGTGGGAGGAAGCTTCCCAGAAGACGGAGAGCTAAATAAAGGCAAGGCCTGGAACAACCCAGGGCTGCCAGCTATTTATTCTAGCGTGCCTGTAGACTGCAGAGCAGGAGAAAGATATTTTAAAGCTGCTGCAAGAAAGCTTGTCTGCGTGCCTGGGTTTGTTGATTTTAAAAAAAAAAAAAAAAAAAAAAAAATCTAATTACCAACCCACCCCACCCCCCACCCCCCCATCTCTGAGCCCTATACCACCTTCAGCCAAGTATCTTCCTAAACCCACCTCCCTTGAGGCAGCCAGCCCCTCCATCAGTACTACACTGATGCAGATGTGTGGAAAAAAGGCTTTAGCGTATACAGAGTAGTAGTAAGAGCTTGGGGACCATCCCCACCCTGCACTCCATTTACTTCTGTCCAGCCCTAATAAGAAATTTCTAAACAGCTTTTAGCATGCAGGGCTCACCCTTCGCCACTCAAACTCTCGTAAGCACTTACCCTTCTGGGCGTACCAATCTCACCTCCTATAAAAAAAAAAAAGCACACCCTGACCGCCTATAAAAAAAAGCAACCACTGCAATCTTTGTTCTTGAATATGTATTTTTTACTGAAAAAATCATTCATAAATTAACAAATACAAAAATGTACAAACACATGGGTAAATAAATGTAATGACACAAAGGATTGCTTTGCTCAGAAGTGTGTGTGTGTTTTAAAACACTAGTCTTCAGTGCAAAAATGTCCCCCTGGCACCTCTTAAAAACATAACAGTAAGCTCAAAAGCCATGGTGATGGAAAGCTACTTTAGAGTTTAAAGCCACTTCTGATGGTGACGAAACGACCCAAAGCACGTGGCTGTTGCTCAGACGGTACCTCCCTTAGAGAAGCAGAGCTTTACAGATAATAAACTGTCAATAAATAGTTTTGCAAATAAAACCCACATGGCTCATTTAAAAAAAAAAAAAAAAAAAGGAATCAGCATCGAACAGGACCTGCCCTCCAGCGGGGCTGACCGACAGTGTTGACATGGAAGGGGCGAACGAGTGGCCTTGTCGAATTTCAGCTGCCGGAATATGTACAAGTTCTCCTAAATACGAGAATTTTTACACCATAACAGCACATGCGCTTGACAGTATGTTTTTAACAGTTACATTTACTATACAGTATTTGACATAGCTGATAAGATTAACAGTGCACATTTTCAGATATTCCACATTTTAAAAAGGGAAAAAAAAATAATAATCAACATGATTAGAACAAAGGAACTATGAAGAGGGATGCTGCTGGGGGGAGGGGGGAATGGACCCTTTCGTGCCAACCGTAGAGTGCATTTCTGAGCAGAGGTAACGGCTTTTTGTTCAACACAAGGTGCGATGGGTGTCAGGTACACATCGAAGGCTGAGGATCCCAACTAAAGTAGTTTAACACCTACTCACACACACATGCATGATTCCTGGGGTAGTGAACTTGGATTAGTTGAAATACATTCCTTGTTTGAAGCACCATTAAACAAAGACAGATTTCTAGCAAGGTCTCAAGATGAAAGGAAAGAGGGGCAGGGCAACGCGGGTTCAGCATCTGAAAAGGGTCCACGTGAATCAGAGATAGAGATTCAGAAGCAAAAGTCTTTATTGCTATATGCGCCATAAAAAGCAAATCCTCACCTCTGCCTATAAATAACCAGGTTGAACCCCCTCGGGAAGCAAGTTTAAAGCACATGTAAGTTCAAAGACTTTAAACCCAAGTTACAAACTTATCAGCGCTTTTCAAGGGCAGGCTCGCTGTCCTCTCATACTGGCTGATAAGATCTACACAACAAGAACTCGTGTTTTCTAAACTAACATTTTCTGGATACAGGTTAGGAATGCCCTGGGCAGTCACACCCACAACAGATGCGTATGGGGATCATACGTCCACGGAACCGAGAAAACAATGTAAACCATGAGAAGTTAAGGAAACCGAAGGCAAACAACGCAATAAAAAAGAAAGTTAAAGTACTTTGGAGGTTAAGTACCCACTGTTGTTATGTATAAATACAAATTAAAAAGCAACCCCAAATGTATTTACTTTTAAGTCAGAGAGGTCCGGTAAAAGTGACTGTGTTGGTGCTGTGTACGGACTGGATTGAGCGTCAGTGGGGGGGAGAGCCCGGAGCCCAACCTGCCCACAGCGGCTGCGGGGAAGGAGGGAGGGGACGGCGGAGGGGAGAAGGGAAGGAGCACTCCAGTTTGGATGGTTGGATGGGGCGTCAGACCAAGCTCTCTGGTTCCCGGTCCTCCTTTTTTTTTTTTTTTCCCCCCCTCACCAGCTTGATTCATGTGTCCTTCATTTCTCTCACTCTCACTAACCTTCGACAACCTGCCCCACCAGCTGGGCTTGTGCAAGCGCTGCCAGGTGCTGACGGTGATAACCAAGCGCACTACCTGGCTCGGACAGTACTTCAGCGTGCTGCTAGATTTACACAATAAATACAAAATAAAGTGACCTCCCAAACCATACCGTCACATTACCAGAGTGACGGCAGGGTGCTGCCGGTCCGGGGCGCGCTCGGTGCTGTGCGCCCAGCTGCCCCATCCCGAGGATGGCACGTGGGCAGCAGCAGCCAACCTGGGGCTGTGCTCCCCGCAGCAGTGTGGATGTGAGCCCTTAAGCAATCTGCCAAGCTCACGCTTGCCATCAGTGGGATATACAGCAACAGGCAAGGGATTTTATTCCTTATGGCTTTTGGATTCATTTGTACATCATGTTGCAAAAGTGACAGAAAGGTGGGGTTTTTTTTTGGTAAGAATACCCATTTCCTCACTCTCCCTGGAAAAAGCCACCCCTGTAGTTTCTGGAATGAGTGATGACACAGCTGTATTTCTCATCCGCTACATTGGAAAGTTTAGGGCACTATCCCACTAACATTTCTGCATATGCACAGCTTAAATCATGCAAGCAGTCTCACTGGCTTAAAAGGGAACACCTTGCACAAGTACAGTGATGCACACACAAGTGTTTACAGAATTCAGGACTACAATGAGTGACCATATGTAAACCTCTAGCTTGGATTTGAGCCACAGGAGAAAAATAAAAAGGGGCAATTTACACAGCATATTTACACTTACACTTCTTTAAGAAGCGACTCTGTTGTATATACTTCAAGCAGGTCATTTAAAAAAACCGCACAGACATAGAACGGTATCAGAAGTCGTCTGATCTCCCACCAGGGCAGGTGCCGACCAAATCACTCCCGATGATCGCCATCGAGAAGCCGGAGTCCCTCAGCTGAGCCACTACCCGGAGGAGAAAGCGCATCCGAGGCGAGTCCTGGTGCCAGAGATTGCTGGAGAAGGAATGTGGAGACGAGAGCAGCAGGTCGAACTGTTGTCCTGAAACCCAGAAAGCAAGTGGCGGAAAAAAGAAAGAGACTGCTGAGCTCGCTGCACGAGTATCGGGCTGGATTGGTACAGCTAGGGCAATTTGTGCGTGCACTTTCAGCCTTATTCTCCAAAATACTGTGATCCTTCATTAGACAAAGTGTTGCTTGTCCTCGATAATCCTTGGAAAAAAAGTCTAGCGTGGTGCTTTCTTGGTGAAGGGCAGAGCAAAGTTATTTTCTCCTCTTAATATTCGGTCACCAGAGCCAGCTCCGGTGTCAGGTTAACAGTGATGTTCTTATACAAGGCGTCATACGTGACGTTTGGAAAGTAGTTCAAGTTATTGAGGCCGTCCAGGGCTTGCCTTTCTTTTGACTTCCTCAGCAAGGCATACCTGTGCAGCAAGAACCAGAGGTCAGAGTCACTTCCACGTATCCCACAGAGCCTTGCAAAGTCCTCCCAACACTACTAAAACATTCTTAAAACTGCCAGTCCCAGCGGCAGCTACAAAACAACCAATTTCTGAGCCCTTAATAAAGATAACCATCACATTTTCTATATTGGTATATAACCCAAGCTTTAGAAAATTACAGCCCATCACTCGATGAAGAGCAGAATGCTCTCTGTGCCACCAGCAAGCACTCAGCAGTCAAAACAACCTGTCGCTCCTGCCTGAAGCCTGCGGGTCCCATTCCCAGGAGGGGACAGAGCTCTGGGGGTCCTGCCGAGCCCTCACCAGTCAAAACATCCCAGAGAAAAGCAGCTCATGGCTGATGTGGTCCTTTTCATTTTTAAGAAACTGGACCACAAGCAAGAGCAGAACTAAATGGTTTTAGTCCGAGGGATGGGGGACAAGGAAGTAAAACTAGAAGAATGATGGTTTGGGGAAGGAAACTGCAGCTGGTGCACAAAAACAGCCTCAACCAAATTTAGGGGCAGCATGATGAGATACAAGGGCTAAGGGTGGGAGGGAAAAAATAAAAGTAAGCAAAAACATCTCAGCAGGACAGGACACTGATATTCTGGGGGTCTGGCAATACCAGTGCGAGCGGGAGCTGGGCTGGGACCTGGGGACAGAAAAAGCACCAGGGAAGGGATGTGCCGGGAGGAAGACTGGGTCAAAGCAAAGAGGAAAGTGCCAGAACTGGCTTCAAAGAGGTCACAGCATCAGGACACGGGCAGGACACAGTGTCTTGATGAACGCTTTCCTTCTCCACAGTGAGAAGCGTCAGGTCCCCCTGCTCGGGTGGGAGACGCAGCAGGGCTTTCAGATGGCAGCTGCTAGTTCTTGCCTGTGGGTAAGCGCAGAGCAGAGGGAAGCAGAGACTTCAGAGGTGGGACACAGAGGATAATTACTGCTAAGCCTCGCTGAGGCTGGGCGTCAGGCTCCAGAGGCAGCAGTGCGTACAGGAGCGCTCAGCAGCGTGGCTACTGCCCCCACCGGGCAAACCACTGCCTTGTCCATCCTCACCGCAGATCCCCCCTCCCGCAGCACTGACCCACAGCTGCTCCTGACATCGAACGAGGGCTCCTGGCTGGGGCCAGGAGAAGACCAGGGAAGCGTTAGGAACAAGAGCACAATCCCACTGCGCTCCCAGCCTTCCACGCTTCAAGGGTTTGACTAAATATAGCTTTTTAAGCCAAAATCAACTACTCTCTTTTAAAAGTGAAACAAGAGAAGCATCTCTTACTGGCTGCATTCTGTTCAACAGAGAAATGAAAACTAGGGCTAAAGACGACATAACCTCAAATCGAAACTCCCCCAAAAATGAGTTTTCCGTAAGAAGAGACCAGCAGATAGCTCAAATGGTATCTGCAACATAAGCTCTCCTTGATGCCTCTCCTGCCAGCAGCACTCAGAAGCCTCTCTGCAGAGCAGAGCTCGCACTGTCCAGCAGCTCGTCATCTGTGAGTGTTAATTCCTGCAGTTGTTGGTGAAAAACGTGTTTCTCTGGTTTTCTGTTGCATAGTTTTCAGAAGACTCAAATTCCACCACGATCCCCTGGCAAAAGCAGTCATTTGACTGACCCTTGTACTCCCCAAAACAACCCTGGCTCCTGGAGGAAGGGGATGGAGCCCTCCTGGAAAGCTCCAGGGATAATTTAGCTTTCGGAGAGAAAAGAGAAAATGTCCACTACCAAATAACAATACTGCAGGAGAACGTGGCTTCTGCAACAGCAGCTGCCTTCTTAACGCAGACCCAGGGTGCTGCTGCTGGACTCTGCCGGTGTTCCCAGGGACACCTGATGCTTCAGCAGCCACACACACCTGGAGAGCCCCTGCTCTCTGTCTTCTGCAGGCTGAGCAATGCCTCCTTCAACACTTAGATCAGGCTCTTCTAGAAACACAGAAGCGTCTCTGACATCTGGCATTAGCCACCCCTTTAGGAACATCCCCCTTGAGATGCAGGACAGGCCCCCAGCCTGCCATCGGGCTGCTGTGCTGACAACCCCCTCTTTTGGAGGGTATCCAAGCAGCTACAGCCACAAAGCAGGGGATGGAGGGTATCAAACGTGGGGATGGAGGGTATCAAACGTGGGGATGGAGGGTATCAAACGTGGGGATGGAGGGTATCAAACGTGGGGATGGAGGGTATCAAACGTGGGGATGGAGGGTATCAAACGTGGGGATGGAGGGTATCAAACGTGGGGATGGAGGGTATCAAACGTGGGGATGGAGGAAGCCAGACAGTGCTCTGCCTCCTTTATTTCCCACAGTTAGTTTCCTTCCTGAGCTAAGGTTGTTACTGCCCTCAAACAGCTGCAGGGAGCCTTGTAAACAGCATACTTAATGAAGGGCTTTGGGATCCTTAAAAAAAAAAACCCAACAAAAAAACCCAACACTACCACGTAAATTCACTTGCCTTCCTAGGAACTGCACTTCTCCCCGATGATGGTGGGGAATTGATTTGTATTTCCCTGTGTCTCCTTCTGGTCGAGTCACGGAGTAGCCCGCGTACTGCACTCTGCATTAGAAAGGGAAGAAATAAAATAAAAAAATAAATTAAATGTCAACTGTTGTATTTGCTGTGCCGTCAGCGCTTGCCAGGAGAGCACAGTGCACTTGAGGTTCTTGGAGCAGCTTTGCCGTTCCACCCAGCAGATAAGCTATGCAAACCTCCCCGCTCCAGCCTGGGCTGCGGGCAGGTCACACGGCGCTCGGCACCTCCAGGCTTCAGCTCAGCCGAGATCAGTTTGAGCTCAGCAGCGTGGGCTATCGCACACAGAGCCAATAACCTCCCAACCAACATTTCTCTGTTTGCTTCCCGTCCACTGCCTGCGCAGGCTGGAGCGGCCCCCGTTCCCACGGAGCCATGGCAGCCGGGTGAAGCAGGAGCAGCAAACCCAGTGCTGACGGCAGAGGTGACCACGCTTCCCCCCACAGCACGGAGGAGGCTCGGCTTGCAGAACCGCCGTCAGAAGAGGAGTTCAGGGATGCTGGCTGAGCCAAGCCCATACCTGTTCCAGAGGTCGTCATCTTCGCCACCCCAGCCCCAGAAGGCGTTAGGGAAACCGTTGATCTTCCGAAACTGCTCAACAGTCAGGCCGCTCACCCCACCAAAGAACTCGTTGTAAGGGAGCCTAGGCGGGAGAGAAGGGGTTAGGGCAGAGCCCGTCAGCACTGTGCTCTCCCGTTTGCAACGGGGAAAGCCTGAGCTGCGAGGATGCTTTCTTCTATTCCCCTCTCATGTTTACTTTGCACAAAGCATGGGAAGCAAACAGAGATTCATCTTCTGCCTTTTAAAGAAAACAAAATCTAACGCTGGCTCCTTAGCTATTACGGTAGTGCAGAGGAAGAACAGTGCTTACAGATACATGTACTTATCCAGCTTGGCTGCAAAGTGCCTCGGCATCTGTCCGCACCCGTAATAGTTACGGTCGTTCTCTGGTATGTGGTCCACATCGTGAAAGATGAGACAGTCCCAGTCCAAGTCCTTCATTGCTTCCCGAAAGCCAACGTTGAAGAGCATGGCACGGTTAAAGGGTTGGTTTCCAGCCTAGGGAAAAGAGAGTTCCTTCTCAAGGGGAGCCCCGTGCAGTCCACGCTCCGCATCTGCATTCTCAGCCTTGACTAGAAAACTGAGGACGACAACCAGCTCCCACCTCAGTGCCGCAAAAGGAAATGATGTATTGGAACAGACAGACTAGCGAGATCAACCAAGACTTAAATATTCCATTTACTGCGCAGGAGCAAAAGTAAAGATGCTAAAGTCTTATTACTCCGACACTTGGAAAAAAAAAACAAAACAATTTTGATCAATCTTTTTAAGATGAGCTAAATACGGAGGTACATTTACTAGGTGGATGAAGCCAGATAGCTTAAGTGACAGGTTCACATACACATCAAATGATAGTCTTATGTTTTACAGGCATGAAAGTCTTCTAGATACTGTCCAGACAAGAAATGTATAACTCTGGTCAGGCCATTCCTATGCCTAGGGGATGCTCTCCAGAACTACTACAGAGCTATAGAAAAATAACACAGCATTACCTAAACTGCAAATACCTAGTTTGAAGTTATCTTTTTTTAAAGTACCTCCTCCAATATAGTATTTTTTGAAAAAATTAATCTCTACTTTATTTTTTAAATAAAAGCTGTCATTTTTGGGCACACCTCTCAGCTGTGCCACTTTTATGCAAAACGGGACAACTTAAATGCTGCAACATGAACCCCAAACCTTTAAATGACACAATCTGATAGGTAAATGCCTCGGGACACGGCGCAGAGCTATGCTTGCAGCTCCAGCAGACACATTTCTAGCACAGCACATCCGTGCCCCCGCGGCTGCCGCCCCGACCGCCCCTGGGCTCACTCACTTGTTCCACAACGTAGAAGGCGAACTGTAAACGTTGCCGCTGCAGCATGGGAATAAGGTGTCTGAAGAGAACGGGAAGATGCTCATATCGATTGCGGAACGGGATCAGGATCGCCACCTGAGGAGGAGAGGACACAGGTCATACTGCACCGCACCTGCAGCTCCTGCCGCAGACCGACCCGCGGGCTGGGGAGTGGGGCTGGCTGGTGTTAGAGGAGGGTGAGCAGCACTAAACATGGTGTCTCAGCTCTCCCATGTAGGGCTGAGCAGCCTGAAACCCTCCCAACCCCCACCACATGGATTTCCTATTCACTTCTGGGGGAATTGTTGCCTTGGGGAAATTCAACATAACCTTGAGTGGGAGGGAGACCTGCACCGGCCCCACTGCCTCTGCCCAGCGCTGGGGACAGCAGGAGCAGGGCCAGGCCCCGCCACCACGCTGCCCTAAGCCACCTCCCTCTGGGGATGGGAGTCCCCAGCAGTGCCACCTTGCCTCTCTGGGTCACATCCTACCCCAGACAGGGAGGAGCAGGAAGCCCGGCAGCCAGGGAGCAGGCAGGGGAGCCCCTGCCTTAGCAGTCCCCGCAGAAGCTCAGAGCTGACTCACGCATCACGACAGCGGCCCTGGAGCTCAGCATTTCTCCCCCAGGCACTGCAGCCCCACACTTCACACATCCTTATATTCATTGCTCTGGAGCTGCAGCGCTTCAGAGATGTTCCTGTCAACGTCTTCCCACCACCTGCCCGTGACCCTCCATCCCTCCGTGCTCAGCAGGGACACAGGGCTCCCCAGCTCCCCGCTTACCTTCCAGCGAGGCAAGCAGTCGCTCGGCTTCCAGTGGCCTCCCAGCTTGATGGAAGGGTCTTTGGAGAAGAACTGGTGGATATCTTCCATCGTGATCTCGCTCATATTTACATCGATGGGGCCCTCTGTGGGGACAGCGGGGAGAAGCAGAAGAGGAGGTGAGGAACCGCTGCGGTCCTGGGGCGGCTTAGTGCCTGCTCGGGGCAGCGCTCTGCTGCACCCCCGCCCTCTATCCCCAGCACTGAATGCAGGCAGCCTCTTCTTTTCCCCAGGCACCAACAAAAATGATTACGAAATGCTGCTGGGACGACTCGTAACACCTCCATCTCCTCAGCTGCTGGGCTCTGTTCAGGCTTTGTGGCTGCTGCTGGATGCAGCTCTCCACCAGAGGCCCACATTGGCCAGGGCATCCCCCTACTCCTCCATACAGGTTTCCAGCAGACACAAATGCCCATACCTCAGCACTGAGCAGTTTCCCCCTTTTAGGAAACATTTACCCCCAAAACCCCGATTTTCCACTGCAATATCACTGTGGTGGAAGCACTTCTCCCTTGAGGGGGTCCAGCCTGTCACCTGCACCAGCCCCTGCCCAGCTGTACCCAGTACAGCTCGGGGCTGGGACTGGCAGCGCTGCCGAGGGGTATAGGAGCCACCCCACTGCTGCTGCCCCTGGAAAAGGACTGGCCAAGCCTTTTTACCGGGTCCCAGCACACAATCCCTCTTTTGTTTGTGTTTGCCAAGCAATGGGCTCCTGCTTCGGCAAGGAGACGTGCCTCTGACGTAGCAAGGATTAATTCATGTGAGTGCGTCAACAATGATTTCCCAGGAGGGGACCAGGCTCTGAACAGCGCTCCCATTCATCCCCAGGTGCCGGTGAGGAAAGGTGCAAGGCTGGCAAGCCGGGGAACACCACAATGTGCCCTCCAAAGCCACAGGGAGCAGGAGAGGGTCGTGGGGCCGCCGGGATGCTACTCACTCATAGAAGGGAGCCTCTCGGGACATGTGTGGTTGGGGAAGTAGGTGAAGTCTTCAGGAAGAAACGTTGTGGCTTGCAGAAAGGTGTCGTTGTGGTTCAGATCAAGAGGATAATCTGTGGAATAAAAAAAAAAAAAAGAGAGAGAGAAAAGTTTACACTTTTTACACTTGAGCTGCATGACTTTTATTTCCAGCCAACTCCCTGTGCCACTGTGAGCAGACTCCAAAGCCACCCATGGCTGAAGATGTCCCCAGTGTCATGGGGGTGTCCCCATGCAGCATGAGCTCTAGACTCACAACCCAGCTGGGTGCTCATCCCCTCTGCGGGGCAGGTGGCTGCAGAAGCCCCGGCTGCCTTCGACAACACCTCACCAAAGAAACTTCACATTTTCTGGCCAAAGGAAGAAATCTGAGTGTCACCTTTAGGTATCACAAACAGCTCCAAGCAAAGGAGCACATGGCCCTTAGAAGGAAAAGCTACTTATCACTGTCCCTGAAGTGGCACAGGGAGAGGGGATGTGCTCCTCCAGCAGGTCCTCTCCTAACAGGCGCAGACAGCAAAGTCCCCAGGCAGGTCCCAATGCCAGCAAGGACTGTCAGTGCAGCAGCCTGCGCAGGGAAATCCTGCCTCGTGTCCTCCTCAAAGGATCAATAAAAACTTATCACGTTACACGCAGCCTTTCCTCCAGTTTGCATCGCGCAAGAGCAGAGGAGCCCCCGTGCCCCAGCAGTCACGGCAGTGCCCAGCACCGCACACTGCTCCAGCCCCACCGTCCCCCTGCATCCCTTTACCTCCCGGGCAAACCCCCCCAGCCTGTTACACCTGTAGACATTTTAAGGTGGGTTTTATGCAACCATGAGCTTCTGCTTTCTACCGTAAAGTCACCAGCTTTGCATAAGGCATCTTTAGCCAAGCATGACCTTTATTTTAGGCACTAGAAAAAGTTCCCTGCCTGTAGGAAGGCATGAGCTGCTGCAGGAGGGTGCTGCCTCTCCGCTTTCTCGGAGCATCAGATGCTTAGCAGAGCAGACCTTTCGGTCCCACAGCGCCCAGGGCACTGGCACCGACCTTACACCCCACAGAGGTCCTGGAAAGCAGCCTATTAGGGCTGAGCCACCCAGTCCCATCACAGGCATCCCGCAGACCTACCAGGACAAGAAGGTCTGATCCTTTGCAAATACCTCACCGTGCACAGGCACTCCTGCAGCAGCTGGCTGCAGAAGCACGCAATGGGGCTGACATTCCCCATGCTGATTCCACGCAAGAGCAGCCCCGGTTTCTCATGAGCACAGTACAAACGAGCTGGTGTTCAGTCATCCAGAGATGAGAAAAAAAGTCTAGTGTTTCCCTGCCACCCCCTGAGAGCTGTCCAAGCAGCTCTGCAAAGCCTTGGGCACAAAGGCCGCAAGTGATCCATCAGCAAACAGGCGATTTACAGTAGGTAACCAGATTTTTAAGTTATTTTACTGAACCCAGTGTGAAATTCAGATTTTTTTTTTTAAACCAGCAGCTATAACCTTTCAAATTAAGCATACATTTAGTTTCAAGAACATATTGATAGCGAAAAGGTTTTTATCCCGAGAGCAATTTAATAAACCCAGAATTACAGTGTAGTGAAGTGAATGAATCAGCTAAGATTAAGAGTTAAGAACTGAAGTCATATTTAAGAATAGGGACATTTAAGTAATTGCATAAGCACAGTACATTCTCCGTAGCAGAAAGGCTGCATCTAATAACCACATTAATGATATATCAAGAAAAAAATAATCTAGTGACAATTTAATCTTTTAAAGCAAAGCAGGGAGGGTTGCCTTTACCCACAAGGTCAAAAATCTTTCACTAAAATCAATTGGGACAAGTCACTGCTGCCCTGGTATTTCAGCGTGCTCTATTGTGCTAGTACCTAACATCACATCATTAACACTGTTTATCCGTTCAAATAAGTGGTACCCAAACTATCTCAGACTCAAGATGGACTTGTAAACAGAACCTAAGGGTTTTTCAAGTATGATAGATACTATTCTGGGTGCTTGATACTGCTCTAAATTTTAATAACCAAATTCCCATTAAACTCCTATCACCAGAGCACGCTCTCCGTACTTAGTCCAGCTGACAACACACGGTGAAGCTCAACTCCCCTTTTTTGCACGAAGAGCTGCCTTTTTGCTTGCAGAAACACAGAAGAGACCCCTCTCGGCTCACCAAAGAGGAAACCTATTATTGCACCTATTAGCAAATGCTGAAAAAGTTATAAACTACTTCCTCATTTTAATACAAGAGGAAAAAAAAGCTAAGGGGAAAGAATAAATGCAGATGGGTGGGGACAAGCACACTGCGCTTGCAGCAGACCACCCTGTGCTTGGTCACCTTGCCATTCAGGGTGGGATATTGCATTTTTAAGGAATCTGCCCAGAAATTAAAGCTCCAGGTCCCAGCACGAGGCAGCACCGCACAAAGCACTGCTCCCCCCACCAGCCCCTTGCTGGGACACCCGTGATGCGCGGGAGAGGTCGCAGCTCAGAAAGCATTTGCAGCCTCCTGCTTCCCAGCGCTCCCATGCAGCTGGAGCAGGGACAACAGGAGAGGGGCCACAGGGGTCTTCTACAGCCCAAATTGGTTTGTGACCTGTGCCAGCTCACCCCTGGCAGCAGCATCCCTGCCCCTGCTTCGCACACCTCTCCTGGGAAGAGGGGAAGGGATGCAGGGATGTGCAGGGATGCAACACCCGCTGCTGCCTACAGGGTAGGACAGGGACAGGAGAGCCCAGGAGCTGCTCCCAGTGGCTCTGAGTCATGATGGGGACAGTCAAGGCCTTAGCTGGGTCCCTCCCTGCAGCCATACCGAAGGGGTTTGCTCTCTCGGCCACCACACTGCCCGCAGCGGCGTGGGGAGGATGCACTAACCAGACAGTGCTGCCCACCCAGATCCCACTGAGGTGCCCAAAAACAGAGTCGGGAAGGGAAGATACTGATCCCAGTGTTAATATAATCCTTGTGGCCACAGCGCCGCATGCCTCCCAGATGTCACCACCATCCGTCATGCGTCTGCTTTGACCTGCCTGCCAGGGAAGGTCACCCAAGGACAGTGCGTAGCACTTGTATACGTTAAAACCATCCTCACAGCCGGAGCTCTCGGGGCAGGAGGGTATCAGCCCATGCCTGTGGAGCTTGGATGGATATGAGGCCTGAGCAAAGCCAGTTATTTCAGTAGCAGCAGTACCAGTATTGCTGATGCTAATGTGGTAGCCATTTCCCTGCCTGCTGCAAGCAGCAGCAGCAGCACACAGCAGAGTTTTGGAGGGCTCGGAGCCCCATGGGTCAGCCCCCATGGGCTCTTGTCACCTCAAGCAGCAGCAGTGGAGCATCTAACCCTCCTCCCCTCAGGGGGATCATCTACTTCCTCACTCTTCGTCTGCATTACTTGATGTTTCCAGCCTTAAAAATAGCTCAGGCTGGCAGCCCCGGCCAGCTTTGGCAGGGACAGGAGATGACCTGGGGTGTCGATCTCTTGCGCAAGTTGATAATTCCCCTCCCGTGCCCATCCCTGGTCAGAGTACAGCCGAACCAGCGGCCGCACCACCTGCCCCTCAGCAGGCTGGGCAGCAAGGACACAGCTTCTCTGTTTTATTAATAAGGAAATAATCTTGCCTTGTAAAACTCTATCACCCCCAGCAGATGAACCCTCGCAGTGGAGGAGCGGAGCTCCATGGCACCGCCGCAGCCTGATGCCAACCGCACCAGCGCGACATGTCAGCGGGGAAGGTACACGCTCGGCATCACACCAGCCCAAAGGCAATGCCTCACCCCGGCTTACACACAGCCCTGTGCATTTATGCTGTGTTGTACCGTGTTTACACCAAAACTTGTAACCCTGTTATCAGCTTTATATTATAGCTGATGAACAGCCTGGGAGTGGGAGCCTGCGACTCCACTCCCTGTATTCTGCCCAAAGTTCAATATATTATTTGTGGCAGATCTCCAGCCAAGTCACCTCAGTTCATCCTTGCATGGGAAGAGTGAAGCTTATGAGCACAGGCTGCTCCACGCGTAGGGAAATCGCGCGCTACGCACGCGCGCAACTTTTTAAATATGAAACCCGATCCTCGCACTGAATTTGGAAGTGTTTACCCTCAGACTGGTTGAAGCTAACAAGTTGAATTCCTGGAAAGCAAGGAGGTTTTCGGCTCAACATCCCATCATTTGAGGCCTTTCAAGATTTTTTACCCCTTATACAAATTAGAAGCATTTGAATTATACATATATATAAAAATTAATATAATTTTTATATATGGTCTCTATATATACAGTAATTCTATATAGAATATGTATTTTTGTTATATACATTATATATTTTTATATATATAAAATAAAACAAGAAGGCAATTAATCAAAGTTCTCACCCTGCATTTACCAGCATAAATTAATTCCTTCAAGCAAAAGTGGTTCAGGTCAGCTCGACTTCCAATGGAAATGGAACCTTTGATCAAAATGACAATTATTCAAGAAATACCTGAGTCATTCACGCTGCTGTTCCTCTTGGCATAGGCACTGCGGACCACCTGCTCGTACACCTGAGCTCCTATTGTTCGCATGTTTTCACGAATCATGATGCCTTGGGCTTGCATCATGAAGAGGTAGGTGTTCACTGCGCAAGGGAGAAAAAATAAAAAATTTCCATGAGCATCCGCTTTTGTAGGAAAGAGAAACAGGAGTCTTTTGGAACCTTTCCCAGCCCTCTGCTGGGTTTCAGCTCTCTCCTGCCAGGAGGATCCCCAGGTCACACGTGCCTCGGTTGCCCGACGGGAGCTGGGAAGGGCACGGAGTTGGGAAGCGGAGGCGTACGGCACGTTTGGAAACGCGGCCGGTGAATAAGGGGAACGTACCCAGCTAGACCTGACAATGCAGACTGTGATGCAGTGATGCAGCTTAAACAACAGTACCTTTTGCTGCCTCAGTAAGGAGGTTTAACTAGGAAATAGCGTTATAACAGGACACTAAACTGCACGCCTGGGGAAGGGCGTTTGTTCCTAGAGGGCAGCACCAAGGGCTGACGCTTGCTTGGCAGAGGTACCTCACCGGGCACCACAAAAAACATCCCACCGCCTGTCTCCGAGCCCACCGGCAGTCCAGGCAGCGTTCTGCAGCACAAGCCCCCTGCGTCCCCGGGGCCAGCTCCCCCCAGCCAGCTTTCTGCCCCACGCCGCCTCCTGTCCCGCTGCACCCGTGCCAAAAAAAAGGGACGGCAGTACGGCCACCCCCAGGGACAGCAGGATGGCCGCCGTGCACCCCTCACCAGCACCACCGTGCCAGCCATGGCCCCCCTGCAGTGACCTTTTTGACTCAAGAATGAAAGGGGGGGAGGAAAAAAAAAAAACAAAACCTGGATTTGAAAATAGGGGAGATCTAGAGGGCCAATTCTGCACTGGTAATTAATAAAACAGGTCAAAAGACACTCCAGGAGGGATGAAGAGGGCACCAGGCCAAGGAAACAACAGAGACCCTGAGCAGAGGAGGGCAGTAATGGTGAAACGTCACCAGGAAACATGTGTGACAGACAGGTCACTCCTACAGCACCTATCACCAGCTGTAATAGCCTGGAACTGGTGGCTGCCAGTGCCAGGAAGGTACAGTCATCGCCGGAGTCACTGGGAGCGCTGATTAGATAGGGCACCCGGGAGGCAGCACCGCTATCGGAGAGCAAGGGTCCCCCCAAAACACCGGCACCCACGCTGACGCACTGCCCTGCATTCCCCTTCCACGCCCGCAGACCGAGGCAGCCTCCCGAAAGGCTGCCCAGAGGCACTTCCCAATCCCAACCGTGCTTTGTTTTCACACAGCTAAGGAAATATTTGAAAGGGCAACGGAGCCCTGCCCCGTGGCCGGAGCCCCCCACGCCGTGCCCAGGCGCTGCCCGTGCCCGGCCTGTCCCCGAGCCATGAGGAACCCCCAGATTTTCTGCAAGAGGAAGGTCAGCTGCATTGAGTGCTGGGCAACTAAATGGCTTAAAATGCCATTTTGAATGCCTGTTTCCAGCCCGTTTCCAGCCCCTCCCTTCCCGGTGGAGCCAGCGACGGCGCCCGGAGCCAGCGGTTATGCCAGCAACGAGCAGGGGCTGCCTCAGCCAAAACTGCACCAAAACCCTCTCTGCTCACCCGCCTCCTCCAGGGCCAGTTCTGCAACCCAGAGAAACCGCCGGGTCGGCTGTGACAGACAGCTATAAAATAAACTGGTGCGGTTTCTTGCCAAAGACACTCCTGTTGCAGTGAGGGCGCGAGGCAGGAGGGCTGCTCCCGGCCTGCAAAGACGGGGGCCTCGCGCTGGCAGACCCCCGGGGGATAAGGCTTTGGGAAACATTGGCATTTTGGTGGGGCACCACAGGCCAGAAACAAACGTAGCTGAAATTCCCCACGCAAAGGCTCACACTCAGTCCTAAAACCTTCACACGCTCGCACTGGGACTCATCTCCTTCTCGGAGCTCAGCGTGAAACCGCATCACCTCCCAGCACCAGCGGTCCAGCACCAGCATCCCTCCCCAGCACAGCCCCAGAGTCGCCAGCAGCTGCCAGCCAGGGCTCTGGGAAATGGGAGTTCCTGGGGGAAAAAAAAATAATAATATTCATGGTAATGGGCTACTTAGGGTTTAGTGGTGAATAAGTAAGCGATGCAACGGGGCTGGCATGGTCCTGGGGTCTAGGGCAGCTCCAGCCCGACCTGCCCATGCAGGCCAGGCAGAGGACAGGTCTCCCAGGTGACCACCAAAAGATCTGGAAGTTGGGCAACTACTTCTTCACATCACATCGCAGCTCTGCCTCGGTTGCAAAGGCAACATACTGAGGGGCTGATGCTTGGGGCACACAGCTCCTAAGGACACGTTTATAACATCTTGCCCCAATGACAGTATCCACCCCGAGCTGTGGCCAGGAGCACTGAGAGGCTCTACCAGGAGCCAGCACAAACCAACATGTCCAGCGACAGGAACAGCATCTCCCAGGCCAAGCAAGCACAGCCTCACCTCAGCCATCAGCAGATAGTGAGGGTTAGAGACTGCCCAGCTCCCTTTCCAAAAACCCAAGAGGCTCATCAGGAACCGGGGCACAGCTCCTCTCCTCTCTGCACAGAGCGGGGCCGCTCGAGCCGAGATGTTTATCAGGATAAGGATAAGGGAAGGGGAGGCAGCAAGTTTGTGCCTTCCAGCTTGCGTGGAGTTTGAGTCAGCGACAAGGCACAACTCGCTGATGCTGAACAAGTAATTTAGCTTTCTACTTCGTTGTGTCTTCTACTCGCTGGATAAAGCGGAGCCAGGTTTGGCGAAGCGTGAAAGAACAGGAGACACAAATCAGCATCCAGTCCCCGCTTCATTTAAGGAAGAGGGAGATTTGCTGGGCGCAGTGAAAGCGCCGTTTGTTCCCCGGTGCCTCGGCGGGCAGACGGAGCCCAGCCTCGGCACAGCCACATGACAGGGCTTGCTGGGTCGGACTCGCTCCGAGCGGCAGTGGGAATCCTGAACAGACTGTCACAGCAGCCACCATCCCTGGGGAGCGCGAGCACAAACAACACCAGCTTTGTTTAAGGCAGCAGTTGCCTTTTCACATATTAACCCCTTTACTCGGATGATTAAGGAGATACCTGGCCACGGGCAAGTGGTGCCCTCAACATGCCACACACCCAGCACCAAGACCCCCCCGTGCCCATACTGACCCCAGCCCAGGGGCGACAGCCCCTTCTCCTGCCCCCCAAACAACCTGCCACCACGCGACAAGCTTCAGAAACCCCACACTTATCCAGAACATGCAATTCATTCGGGTCAGAAAATCGGATTTAAAACACATCACTGAAAACATTTCACTCCCCATGCCCATACAGTGCTTAGATTTGCTCCATGGGGCTGCCGTGGCCAGGGCTGGGTCTGGATCAACATTTGGGAATCGCTATACAGAACTCAAACCTCACTCCTTCCTTCACTTTTGATCAGCAAATTGGCCATGTTTTAAATTTATTAAGCCTGACCGGGCTGACCCTCCAGAGCCCAGGGCACCAGTACCTGAGAGGCGGCACTTCCCAGAGCCATCGTGCCGGAGCCACCGCGGGAAGGAGACACGCGGTCAGCCTGAACCAGAGTTCAGCCAGAAAACAATTCTCCATGTTGCGAGATATTGCTAATCTAATCACATAGGATGATCTCCAAAATTACATTGGCCTTCTGCCTTTATTCCATTTGAGCACACAGCACTTCAGACCACACACGCGCAGTGATAACACCCCAGCTACGGCCGCTGAGCAGCAGGACAAGGACAGGAGAGGGAGTTTAGCTGCTGTTGGGGAAAGGGAGGGGAGGGGAAGATGTCCCTTCTCCTACAAATTTCCAGCAGACCCTTACTACCCACACAGAAAACAAGCAAAATTTAAGAATCCATTTGCCCACATGACTGCCTTAACATTATTCTTGTTAGTTCGTTAAAGGACAAGTCAACTCCGCTGGGATTTTAAACACATGGAAACCATGATATCAGACCTACAGCTTGCCACCAGCTGGAGCAGAGGCACATGGCTGCGCCCCTCGGGATGCTGCGCCCCTCGGGATGCTGCGCCCCTCGGGATGCTGCGCCCCGACCTCCCTGCTCACCAGCAACAGGGAGGGCAAGCACTCATCCGAGCCAGGGGTGGATGCAACAACTACGACCAGGGAGGTAAAGTCCAATTATATAATAAGCATTGAAGGCTTCCTGTAATCATTTCTCTGTTGGTATTTTCGGAGCACTTCTAATCAAGAAACAGCTGACACTCTCATGGAAAATTAATTTCACCATGATGATATGTACTAGAGAAGGCAGCAGGGTAATTTGCAGCTCGGGAGTTGATTCGGAAGAGGTATGAGCGTGACCCGCACCAGCTACCGACACAGGAAGGGGACAGACCTGACACATCTTGCTCCTGACCCCAACACGCTTCCGCCACCTGTGGAAAGGACCTTCCTCCAGCATCCCCCCGCACGGGGGATGGCGTGGTACCCCAAGCCCCATGCCGGGACAGACAGCCGCTGGGGTCAGGAAGAGGGGCCAGGCGGCTCACGGCAGCCCTGCACGCCCGCAGCAGTATCAGCGCCCAGCACAGCGACCAGACTTTCCTGAGGAAGGAGCAGGTCTTCCTCTGCTTTGAGATTTAGGACTTTCTGTCACATTCAGCATTTTTCCCAGTTCATTAGTCCATCAGCGCTGCAGAAGCACAAAGGGGCTGTTTGGTGAGTTTATGGCGGTCTCACTGCAACGCGCAGCCTTCTCCCGCCGGCAGCCGGGGCGCTGGAGCAGCTGGACCCCGTCCCAGCGAGGGCAGCCACCGCGAGCCCCTGCCCTGCCCCGGGAGCACACAGCCCAACCAACACAGCCATAAATCAACGTACAACCGGGGAAACTCCCGCTGAGCAAACCACTTCGCCAGACGTCCAAAACGCCCAGCAGCGCTTGCGGGACGCTTGCACATGGGAGATGCAGGGAAGGCTCTGGAAGGGGGAGAAGGTCCCGCAGGCAGCAGGGATGGGTGCTCAGGTCACCCCCAGCGCCCTGCCAGGGCTGGGAGGTCCTGCCCGCTGCAAACACCTCCCATGGGGCCCAGAGACAGCAGAAACCAGCAGAGTCATGTCTATATTAAGCTTTTTGTCAAGCTCTCCCAGCAGATCCCCAGCATCAAATCAGCTCCATTGGCACGAGCAATACGAAGGGGTTTGATCAAACTAAGCCCCCAAGGAACGGATAGACAGTTACGATAGTCTTAACTCGTAAATAATCTAACTAGGAAATTTAGCAGCATCCCATTGCTAATACACCATTAGATGTCTGTCTCTATTTGCCTTCCAGTGGCACCATATTCCCCAAATGTATAGTGCCAGAACAATTAAATAAGAGGTTCCTATTAGTTTTAGGGAATTTAATATTAATGCCGTCACTGTTACTTAGCCCTTGGCCTATAAATAGCACAGGAAGGAATAATTTGAGACGTTAAGTGGTCTAAGAATTAACAGTGCAGCAGCAGCACTGAGCTGGTAATTACAAATCACCCGTCCCCAAAATTGGCAAGTTCACAGCCTGCACGTGCACAAAGCAAGCAGAGAAGACGGGAGACTGCAGTGATGCTCTACCAAAACCTGAATATGGGGAATTTGCACCTGAACTGTCTTTGAAAAATGACCCTGGGGAGGCTTCAGCAAGGGGGAGAGAATTCAGATTATTTTAATAGTCCCTAAATTTTTAATGTACGCTTTAAGATGGCAACTTTCAGCTGCAATCCCACAGCTGGCTGAGCTCGGGTGTTAGTGCAACTCACTATGAAAAAACACTGCACCAATTTTAGGATATCCAGCAAGAGGAGCACGAGTGCTCTGCACACATGGGAAGACTTGGAAGGCCAAGGGAACTCACAGAGCATTTGCAGCCCCAAAGCACCCGTGCAAGGAGCCCTGCACCCGGGCAGCAGCCAGGGCTGGCGGTGGGATTGAGCCCTGGGTGACTGTCACACCCAGCGGGGCAGTGAGCAGCCCAGCGCCGGCATCCACAGTACCAGCTCCATGCAGGCAACGCCGCAGGTGGGGAACCCAGAGGACACAGTTTACCCATGCACTGGGGCGGTAACGCCGAGAATGGCTGTAAAATCACACAGGGCTTTGCAAATCCCAGGAGCAGCTCAACTCCTGGGCGCCGCTGCAATTCCTCTCTGCGAGGAAGGGCGTAGCGACATATGCAGGCTGGAGCATAGAGCATAACAAGCATTTGCCCAAGTTAAATATTACCTTTCCTAGCGAGATTCAGACTCTCCTACTTTAATTGCAGTTCAGGAGATGCAATTGCACATGACTGCATCTCCTGTTTATTTTCCATCCCTCCCTCTTTGCGGCGACGGGCAGCTCTCCCCATCATCGGCCAGCCTGCCCTCCCCATCTCGCCTCCCTTCGCCAGGGTCAGCGCAAACGCTTCCAAGGAGAAAAAGAGCATCAGCTGCCAGCAGATTTCTCTGCACACAGAGCATAAAAGCACAGCGCTCGCTGGGCACTTGTGGGCACCGCACAGTTAAATGCGCAATAAAAGGCTCTTCAGCAGGCGGAGTGAAACGTTGCTAACCTCTGTGGCTGGCAGCACTGGCAGGCTGCTGCTGGCTACCGACAGCAAACATTAACAGCTCAGCGTTTGTTCCTTAGGTTCATTAGGAGACAAAGCGGTGGAAATTCCTGTGTGCTGGACACCACCTCAAAGCAGCAGGACTCCAGACGCCTGAGCATGATGCTCACATAGGATCAGGGTGAGGAAACAGAGGAAGAGCTTTGGTTAAAAAAAAAAAAAAAAGAATTAAGTGAATGCTTGGGCAAATAAGTGAGAGGAAGAGCAGGCAGATATTCCCCAGCACTGCATCTAAAGCAAGAGGGAAGGGAAGGATGTGGGATGCTCAGGACAACTCCTCATCTACTGGGTCATGGGAATCAGCACGGCTGCAGGAGAGAAAGGAAATCCTCTGCTGCAGGCAACCCCCGCCACCAACCTGAGCATCCTACTCATCAATCAAGCAGCCTTAGGACCTGCAGGAAGAAAGGGACACGTGGGGTGGTGCTGCCCAGGAAATGCATTCAATAGGGAGTTCTCATCGGGGCTGTCCTTCACCAGTTGAAGCAATCTAGAAAACAGCCAGACCACAGCAGAGAACAGAGGACAGGTTGGATCTGGATTTCAAATTTCTATATGCACCACACAACATTTAAATAGATTTTGAAATCACCGATTGGTTAGTCTTCCAAATTAGGGGATTAACTGTACCTATTTGAGAGTATAAAATTGTCAAGATAAAAACAACTTAACAGAGTCACAGATTTACTGACTCAGTTCACATGGTACAAACTGCACTGTCTGAAGCTTTAACACCCTGACTTTGATGGAAGAAAAGAGAATGGGACTGTTGTTTAGGATATTCCCCAAAAAAACAAAGACCTGATTTTTCAAGCATGTTTTACAAGTTCAGCATGGCTGAACAAAAAGGGTTGTCACATGTGCAGCCTCATGTTTGCTGCAACCGAGCTGTTCCAAAGGGGGGTCCGAGATGATGTTTCTGGTCAGTAGCTTGCCTCGTACACCAGGCTGGACCATCCCAGTTAACACACATGAAACAATACGCACTCCCAGTTGTCACGCTTAAATGAAGGCGCAGAATTTGCGGTTATAGCATCCAGGACAGCATTCGTTCTTTGCTCAATGCAGCGAGACCCGCAGCACATCTTCCACTGCCATTTAAGGCTAAAAGCATGGTCCAGCTCTTATTTACATCTTCTTTGTCTCTGAAAAAAAACAAACCTCGTGTGGGGAAAGTCCTGCTCCCTGCCTAGTTTGCCCCTGATGCACATGCCCCAGGGGACCCGCTTCTTGCCACAGGAATGGCAAAACCCAAGGCAGAGGTTTTCACCCCCGCAGTGGCCTTGCCCACGGCCAAACCGCTGGCTGCTTCACATCCCTGACCTCGGCAGGGCAGGACACAGCACACCAGTGGGGACAGTCACCACGAACCACCCCACGGGAGGCGCAAAGCAGGTGGCAGACTGCAACCCTCCGCCCGTACTAAGGCGTTTTACCCTCGGAATACCCAACCATCGTGCCACAGGATGACTACTCCTATCAGCAGGGCAACATCCACCGCCAGAAGCTGCAGGCTCTCGTCTGACCTGACGCTGAGCATTTCGGCTCCTCGCTGGTGCCAAAGAGCCCAGAGCCAGCAGGAGCGCACGCTGCGATACCGCCGTCAGCACCTGCCAGGGAAAATAAAGGATCCTGCAAATGCTTCAGCCCTCAAAGCGTAAAAGGCTGCTTTGCAGCAAGCAGGATTTGCACTGTGGAGACTGCAGCTAAGGAGAGATCCCCTCTGCAGCAATACTCCAGGACTGTGCCTGTTGTGATTTCTTCCCTACTCACCGCCAGGTACTGGGACACCAGCCGTCCCCGCAGCCAGGGAAGGAGCACTGCCCCAGCCCCACCTCCACGCTGCGCATCAGCCCGGCTCCTCTGCTGGAGAGCCCGTCAGCCCTTTCAACTCCTAAGAAATTCTCCAAGCTGAAATTCTTTAATCACGTGGGATTATTGTTGTCCCAGATTTTAAAAGGCAGCAGCTCGGAGCTCCCTGCCAAGGGTACTTTCACCATACAGTGCCATTAAGACCCACGGCAGCTTGGCCTCCGCAGTACGATTACAGAGTTGTTCTTGTCTGCCGTAATTAAAGACTGCACTGCAAACAGCGAGTATAGCTGCTGCGTTTTTACAGGATGAAAAAAAGCTATCAGAAAGAGGATGCAACTTTGAAGTTCCAGCATACAGACATTACCTATGGGAGTTTGTAAGAACTCTGATGTCCTAAGACATTTATTAGCTTTGTTGTGAGCTATGCAGTCTTGGAATACCTAACATTTTTGATACGGTTTTCTTCCGCCTGACAAGCAAACTGGTAATACACCTGCTGTAAATAAATTAACCAAATCCACTATCAGAGTAGGGAATGACTTCATTGGAAATAATTCATCCCTCTATCTATGAACTTAGTTAACACTTAACTAAGAGATTACACATCACATCACAGCCCGTGTGACGCCTTCCTGAGTGTCAGCAGAAAAGCGATGGCACAGGAGCCTGTTTGGGATGCCTTGAATAGGGGAAAAATGGAAAAACTCTTCTCTCCATCTCCCCACACTGCAGACCTCTGCCGCGCGCTTCGGGATCAGACCCTTCTCCAGGGACAGCCGCGCAGGGAAGCGCCGTGCCCCGTGGCTTCCCCCCAGCATCACCCTCCTCTCCCTCCTTCTGCTGGCTCATCCCTCCTGCCCACCCATGGCAAACATTTACTGACAGCGCTGCTGCCCTGGCGCCAGTCATAAGAAAACCCTAAACCTTATCGCGGAAAGGGGGGAATAAAGTGCCCTGGCATCAAAAACCAGATTCACACCGCCCTTTGCCACAAGCACCACGCTCGCAGAATAGTGCCTAATGCGCTACCATTAAGTTACATATTAATCCTAGATAAGCAGGAACAAGGCTATTAAGTGAGTGAGCTCAGCAAGGGATAAGAGCGTCCGCAGCCCCAAGCAGTAACCAGGGTTCAGGATCCACCATGGGGCAATGGGGACATTGCTGACTGACAGGGACGGGAGCCTTGTGGCCCCCAGGCTCCCACCCCACCAGGTTTTATTGGGTTTATACAAACAGGGGAAAAAGCCGGTGCAAGTTCAGTGACACAGGTCGCCCATAAGCGGGCTATGGGGATGGGGCGCTTGTCTGCCCACAGCCTCCCCGCAGCACGGGGCAGAGGGTGTCCTGCCTGTCCCAGTGCAGGCAGGAGACAGCCGTCACAACCTTGTCCTGCCCCGAGTCACTGGATCCTTTCTGCATGGTGGCTCTGCAATTACTTAGGGACTTCCAAGCCAAAGTTCTCCCGTATCACCCCCTCTCGCAGCCTTGGAAAGGGATGGGTGCACGTGGAGGTACATCGGGGAACAGCGAACATCCCCCTCCCTCCATCCCAGAAACACCTTTAAGCTCTTCACACACAGCAGCAGCAGAAGTTTCTTAAAGAGTCGTGTGTTTACCAAGGGATCTGACTGCTTACTCATTGATATGAGCAACAGTGCAGGGGGAAAAAAAAATATTAAATAAACTAATCAATTTCAGCCTGCCTGTGCCCAGAAGTCAAGCTCTGCAAACAAGAGTCAGACATTCAGCTACCTTGGAAAAGATAAACATGCTGTGAACGCGAGGGCAGCGCTCCCCAGCCCCACGTGAGGTGTGTGTGTCCGTCCGTCCATCCTTCCCCCCCTGTGCCCAGCTCGGCTGCACTGCCCCAGCCTGACCACTTGCCACGGTTTAACCCAGCCAGCAGCCAGAACCACACAGCTCCTCACTCACTCCCCCCATTTTGGGTGGGGGAGAGAATTAGAAGAGTCAAAGTGAGGAAAAACTCGTGGGTTGAGATAAAGACAGTTTAACAGGTAGAGCAAAAGTCACACATACAAGCAAAGCAGGGAAGGAATTCATTCACTGTTTCCCATGGGCAGGCAGGTGTTCAGCCATCTCCAGGAGAGCAGGGCTCCATCACACGCAACGGTTACTTGGGAAGACAAGCACCACCGCTCTCAATGTCCCCCCTTTCCTTCTTTCCTCAGCTTTACACACTGAATATGACATCACATAGTGTGGAACAGTCCTTTGGTCAGTTGGGGTCAGCTGTCCTGGCTGTATGTCCTCCCACCTTCCCGTGCACCCCCAGCCTACTCGCTGGTGGGGCGACACGAGGACCAGAAAAGGCCTTGACTGCATAGCATCACACTGCCTAAAACACCAGTGCACTATCAAAGGTATTTCTTATCCCAAATCCAAAACACAGCATTGCATCAGCTGCCAGTAAAAAAGTTAACTCTGTCCCAACTGAAACCACGACCCCTCAGGATATGGGGGCCGCACATGGCAAACAAGGAGGACAGTTAATTTTTAACGTGTGGGCACCATTTGGGTTCAGACACGGTGGTTCCGAGAGCCCACCCATGGGGGCCGGTGCGGGCACCCAGCGCCCAGGGGCTGCTCCAGCCCCCGCCGCAGCCTGTGCGCGGGCACGAGCCCGGCAGAGCGGGAGCTGAGCAGCAGCTCGGTGCTTTGCCACCACAGCACAGAGGTGGGCACTGGAAACACCAGCAACATGCTGGCACCCTCCTGCATGACCAGATCCCCGAGCAGAGGCAAGGCAAGACGCCGAAGCCCCAAGGAGATGCTCAGCGTGCAAACGGCTCAGAAATACAACTCCTAAAAGCAAAAGTTGGCCATCTCCTGCACCAAGGCAGTGCCAGTCTCCGTGGCATCTCACTGTCCTGAGCTTTCGGTCTCAGGTGCAGAGAGGAAAGCTCCTGTGCTCACCTGAAGCTGTGGTGATCCCGGCACGGGCTTCCCAAGCAACCCCCCTGACCGTACATAGTGCCCGGAGGTGTCAGCCTCTGATCTCTGTCCCCTCTTGCATCCAACTCCCAATTAAGAGTCTCCTTGGCCTCCAATCACTAGTGGGAAGTTAAAACTCACAAGTGCATCAAGCATGCTATGAGGTCTTGGGGATGGCAAATTTCCTCTGCATCCTAAAAAAAAAACCCACACCAAAACACCACGTATCTCAATGTGCATCTCATGAAGATGCACCAGAGCAGCTCCCCGGTGGTCTTGGTGCCAGGGTGGGCACCGGGCAGCACGGCATCGCCTTGCCCAAGCACTGAGAGAGCCCCACACAGGACAGCTGGAAGCAAAGGCCACTTCATCAGGGCTTAATAACCTCCTCCTCTCCCTCTGCAGACATCCCCTCACTTCAAACAGGCAGAGATGGCTCTTGCAGACACCCTGGGTTTGGGAGGACTGCAGGGAAGGAGCTGGGCAGGCAGCCAGGGCAGGACTCCTCCAGGACAGGAGGAAGGAGCCGATGGGTGCTGGCATCCCCCAGACCCTGCCCATACCGAGCATGGCACCAGCCTGCCGCGATGCAGCAGCCCATCCTCCCCCTCGAGCCGAGGCACTAGCCCTTCCATCCACACTGGATAACGAGATTTCAGATTACACCAATTTATCCACTCAAGTTATACGATTTGCCCAGGTCGTGCTGCTTCTCCAAGGTATTACAGCTAAACACCATCCTCCTCCTCCTCCACTCCCCCGTCCTCATTGTGGCCGAGCCCTTGGCAACGCTTTGCAGACACAGCCCTACAAATGCCATGATGCTCTTCAGCATGCTGCAATTTCGGGGTGGGGGGGTTGACCTGCTCCGGAGCCAGCTGCAGGCGCAGTGCCCCACATGCAAAGGCAGGGAACAGCAGAGACATTCAGCACAGGTTCACACAAGCTGCTCTTCTGCAAGCACAGCCCTTCCTGGGCTGGAGCAGTTACTGTGCCACAGGGGACTGTAGCAGAGTCCTCTGCCATCAGCGCTGGGGTTTGGCCCTTCTGGAGGCTTGGGAGCAGAGCTGGCGGGGGAGCCCCTCTGCACCACCGTGGCATGGAAGGACACAAGCCTCGCGTGGGAACTTCCACCCGCTGGGTTTTGGTACCCATCGAATGCAAGTGACCACAGCCAGGAACGAGCTGTGCCCTTACAGGGCGCAGGGACGCAGCGGCAGCAGCCCGAGGCAGGGCAGGGGACGGCGGCTGGGGGAGAGGGTTGCTGTCAGCACCCGCTGCGAGCCCCGCTGTGCTATCAGCTTTCTGCCGCGCAGCAGCAAACGAGACAATCACTATGTTGACTGGCATTTTTTTTTTTTTTTCCTTTTTTAATTAGGTGAAAGCAGGGTTAACCCAGAGCACCCCAAAGCTAGACAGCCCCCCAGCACAGCTCCCTCCATCTCTTGCCCTATGGCGGTCGCCAACCCGATGCACAGAACACGCACCCCCAGAGCTGCTTAACGGGGCTGGGAACCGGCAGACACCCCGCTGCCGCAGCCTAGAGACTGAGAGACCATTCGGTACAACCCAGGACACCAGAGAGCTGGCGCTGACGGGACGACTGCACATTAGTAAGGCTGCCAAGGCCTCTGAAACACAGAAGGATGCTTGACCAATCCTTTCCTGTAATTACAACTGCAAGTTAGGGCAGGAGGATGCACAATGGGCTTGGGCTGGAGGAAAACTGAGGCAAAGCCTCATTTGCAGGTTTGATTAGCAATAAATTAA